GCCTGGCTATAGTCCAGACCTGTCTCCCATTAAAAATGTATGGTGCATTATACAGGTCAACCAGAATTTACCCATCACTGCTTTCTGTTTTCATTGGCATGTCACATACTGTCCAAACTGTTCTTGAGATTTGTTTATCCACTATATTATTTAAAGAAACTCTTACACTGCATCATTTAGTAATGCCACTGCCACAAACACATGCATACACATGCCTACACACACTCATGTACATTAAAGCCAGACAAACCATGCAGCTAAATTAAGACTCTTCTTGCATTGACAACCCATTATTTCACTGTCTGCATGTCAGCGCACTGCTAATCAACTCAACTCAAGCTTTCACTGCTTCTGGAAACTTCTCCAAAGAAGATTCGAGCTGCTTTTCTAAAAAAACACAGCTACTGAGTCACACAAGAGGGGGAGGAAGGAGGACAACGTGGACAGAGTAAGACAGAAAACAAAAAAGAGACACTGAAAGGTGAAAGTGCATCCCATTTTGAGAGTTTCTCTACAGATTTCAAACATTTCAGTGTGGCAGAACAAAGCCTCCAGAGTGAGGTTTCTGGCAGTGAAAAAGTCCAGTCTAGCTTTTTATGACACTTCAGAAGAAGAGTCAGTGGTGGTTTTGTCTTGTGTAAAGGGGCCAGAATGAAACTTAACATAAGTGAAAACGGGAAAAAATATGAAACTCAGAAATATGTATCACTGTTTATTAAAGCTGGAACTCATCAGTCAAAATCCTCTTTGGCTGAGCAACGCTGGGCAGTCATCTATTTAGAATGCAAAAAAATCAACAGTGTTAAATTACCTCCTACAAAAAGTGTTAAACTGGTCTCCAGTGAGCACTGTGCAGTTACACAGTAGATGCTAAATTAGCACCAGAGATTTTGCTGTGAAAAGAGGTGAGAATGATCTAAAGAGAAGTGAAGCCTATCAGCAGATACTTAGGTCTACTCAGACCATGTATTTGGCCATGCAAGCGTCCAATTCTCAATATTTGTTTAATGGATTGTTTTTATTGATAAACTGAGCCAAGTCAGTGAAATAAGGGGAAAATTAAACTAAATATTGTGTAGCGAAACATTTAGCTGGATCATTGTGAACAAACTTCTTCACAAATACATCAGTACAAATAGGTATTTTCAATGACCAAAATCTTAGCAGTAGTACTATAATTTTGATTTCGATACTGATACTATGTGAGAGGTAACGCAATGCTTAATACCAAAACTAAATATAACAAATATTTTCAAATTGTTAGAGCTTACTTAACATCTAAATTTTGAATTCATTTTTCATCTGGTTGAAATCTCTTTATCAATCCAAAACAAAAAATTCAAATGTAAAAGTACATTACATAACTAACTAATTTAAACATGGCCTCAACATGTTACAAAGAGAAGATTAACAGATAAGAAGATCCATTCGTCATAACAAGTTTAAAATAAATACAATAGGCTTACAATACAATATACTACACATTAAGTTGTTTGTATACATTAAGTTGAAAAGAACAGAAATACTCATCACTTGTGTCTTTCAGATGTGCTAATTCTCAGGTCTCTGCCAATTTGAGTCATGCCATGCACTTTTTGATTTGTCTATAGGTAGAATGGGACATCAATACTGTATTAGATTTTTCAACTCTTAACTGCATTAATTATGACATAAACATTAAACAATGTTTTCTTCTTGAAAAGGTCATTTTAGAAAAGTTCAAAATGGCCATGTCCATTATATCCAACATCAGTGTATTCATTTATTCCCACTGTGTGCAGATTGAGGTTCAATTGAAATATGCATATGGCAACATTTATATTTTATTACTTTATATAAAATCCACAGCATTTAAACAGGTTTCACTGTCAATGCAATTGTAACTTCCCACATATTGTGTTCCTTTTTTTAAAACTGTTGCGTATAAATAATTAATTATACACACACTTAGAGGGAACTACAAAAGCCTCACAATTAGATGTGTGTGATAAAAGAAATACAATAAAAAATATTTTCTTGTCCTCCGTGAAACTGAGTTTTTAAACTGAAATTGAAAAAAAGAAATAAAAAGAAAGTACTTTTTGGCAACATCATGGAAGGGTTAAATAGAGAATTGGATGTATTGAAATTGGAGTAATGCATTTTTTTTAAATGCAAAACTGAACATCTTGCAAAAAAATTTATTGGCCCTACTTTCATAAATAAAAGACTTATAAGCCAAGAGAATCTTTGAAGTGTTCAAATTCATACAGCTTTTTGTGTGAACTCATTAGAAAGTTTGTAAATCAGTGGAAGCCTAAGGGGAACATAATCTCATGTCTTCAAAATTACTCAATAAACTTTCAAAAATCATCTAAAAGTGCCACATCATGGTGAAAAGAAGCCAGTGGAAGTGTGCTATTATAAGTGAACGAGTGCAAGTAACTCCCCAGTGCTCTAGTCCTCTTAATGTGTGCACACAGATGCGTGGTCTGTTCTGACCTTGACTGGCACAGTTGAACTCAAGGGGCCTCAGTGTGCTTCACACACTTTTTAATGGCTTTTCAAATTCCACACATTTCATGTCCTATTCCAGAGCCTCCAGTGAATAACAACTCTACACAGGTCCCTTAATGGACGTCATATTTGTGGCAGCCCTACGCCTCTCCCAATTGCCATTAGCAGTGTAGCAATACATGATCAGACATGAGAGCGGGAGCACGTCTGAGCCAAGAGTAATTAATCAGAGCTCTCCATAGGTTCATGTTTCTTTTAAGGGAAGGAAATTGTGTGGCTTAATCGACAGGCATGGGTTGCAGCTTTAAATAAGCTAATGTGATGTCATGATATATAAGGGCCGCAAGGTGCCCATTAACCTTAATGGCAAAAAAACACCTCCGGGTGACTCATCACTCAGTCTTGATCTCAAAACAAACACACACACACACACATACATACATAAGGTAAGAGAGAGTTAACCCGCGCTCCCAGCAGGCATGGTTTTAGATTAATAAAGGAGCTTCATACAGTAGAAATGTTCAATCATGTTTTTCTCCCTCATCCCTAACCTTAGGAAACATTTGGACCAGCAGGTCTTCTTAAAGAGTTCACTACGTACAGTGCTACGTGAGCACTGCATAGTTTTTTATTGTAATTAAGTTGGCTTGACTGTTCTTATGTAGCAGTTTTCACAAGTTGCTGTTTTCGAGCTAGAACCACAATTCTTTGCAGTACTGTAGAGTCTATATTGGAGTAGTGAGTTTCTCATTTTGGGACCAACTGCAAGTATGGTTTTCATATAGAGTTTCTTCAAACACAATTTTTTTTTAGTTATGAAATGGATTGTGGACTTAACCTCCACAAATGATGTCACAAAAGACAACTCACACTGCTTCTCATAGACATACCTTCTGGCTGAATTACGGTTGAAATATCAGGCTGGGGAACAAAAGCGTCATTCGTTTTTAGTCAAAGAAAGTACAGCCGAGTAAAGATGAAATTCAATGTGATGTCTGTTTACGCTTCTCCAAAAGTTCTGTCCATAAGTCACAAAATATCATGGGACAAAGGAATATGGTGGACAGACTCACACATACTCACATATTTATATTAGCACATATTAGCAACCACCTGGGATGCCACAGTAATAGATATCATAGCAATGGCCTAGAAACACCTTAGCATCCACCTCAAATTGCAAATTTCATAGCAACGGCCAAGAAACACCTTAGCTATCACCTGTGATACCATAGCAACAGCCAAGCAACACTTCAGCTATCACCTGTGATATCATACCAATGGCCTAACAACACCTTAGCAACCAACTGGGATTCCATAGCAATGTCCTATTAAAATCTTAGCAACCACCTGGCATAAGATAGCAACATGTTATCAGCCACCTGGGATACCATAACAATGGCCTAGCAACACCTTAGCAACCACATGGGAGTTCACAGTAACAGCTCTGTCAAGCCATCTTAATGTTGGCTCACAAACCTTCTTTTCCTTTCCTTTCCTTACCTACAGGCTCTGTTCAAACACTGTGTTAGATCATAGGTAATAGATGTGTGCTATTTATTTCTTATTTTAAAAACGTTTATTATTTTTAAAATATCTTAGATTAATATAATTTTCTGATAAACTTAAATGGTGGAATCTTGAGACAATTTGAATTCCAATTGCAATAGCTGACGAAAAAATGGCCTTGAAGCTGATTGGCTGCTCTTGTCTGAAGTTATTTCTACTGTACACTGCTTTCCCTTTCAGTCTTTTTTACCTTAACCTTCAGCCTTTTTAATATCTCTTTCTTTCTCTCTTTCTTTCTTTCTCTCTTTCTTTCCTTCCTTAATTTTTCGTATTTCTTTTTCCTTTCACTCATTCTTTCTGCAGAAACTTCTAAGGCCATTTTTCTTGCTTTGCAGAGCACTGTGTTTACTTCAGGAAATGCAAATCTAGTTTAGATTGCATTTATATTGTAAGCCTAAGATGCAATTAACTTCCCTTCACGTAAACAAGATAGCATGCTAATTAGACGTCACAAAAATGATTGCTTCTTTGTGCCACTCTGGTCCCTTTGGAGCAGCCAACAGAGCTACATTTCAGTATGTCATTGAAGACAGCCAATTTTCTGTGTTGGCCTAAGCAGTTATCTCTCACTTTAAACTCAATCTACACAAGCACACATGTAAACAAGCATGAAGGGAATCTGAATTCACTCACACGAGCTGCACCTTATGGAGAAATCCGTACAATCTCATCAAAGCAGGCGAGGCTGCCTGAGGAGATCAGAACTTAAAGCTTCTTTAAATGGGAGGAGCACACAGGGTTCAAACAGGCCATCAGATAAACAAGTTTTGAAGAACATGGCTGATGGAAGTTTGTTTTACATATTTCTCTATGAAGGGTTGCAAAGGGCTGTTTGTATAGAACGCTTCAGAGAGAGAGGTGATGATTCTGTCTCTCATACACACAAGTGCGTGCACACACACACACACACACCAAAGGTGAGTAATGCTACTTACACATTCAGTGGCTGCCAGGCAGGCCATTGGGCCTTCATCTTAATGACCGTCAGTACTTCATCACCCTGTGAGGGGAAAAAAGAGGGGGTATAAACAAACACACAAAAATAAACTCTAAAAGATTCATTACATCTCTGTTCTTAACATGACACAGTAGAACAAGACAACAGACACTTCATATCAACCCCGCCTGCTCTCGCCCTCCCCCTCCTTCTATCTCCCTCTCCCCCTCCCACACACACTCCCCCTCTCTTTCTCTCTCTATCTCTTTCAGTCTCTTACTCTCTGTTCTCTCTTCCTCTTTCCATCTTTGTCTTTATCTTTTCCCTTCTCTCTCTTTCAAGCTCTTTTTCTCCTTTTCTCTCTTGCTCTATTCTCTTTATTTCTCTCTCTCCCTCTGTTTTTTCTCTCTGTCTCTTTCAATCTCTCTCTCTTTTTCCATCTCTATTTTCCTCTCTCTCTCCATCCCTCTGTGCTGAAGGTGATGAATGAAGCAGGCTTCGCTTCTTTGCTGAAGGAATGATGGCGTCAGAGCCTCATAAAATCTATATAAATATTTAATCAATTGCTCATGGCATGCAGGTCAGCTGTGTCACAGTGTGTGTCTATTAGAGAGGGGTGAAAAGAAAAAAAAGAGAGAGAGCAAGAGCAACAGAGAGAGAGAGAGAGAGAGAAAGGAGAGAGTGACTTTCTCTCAGTTTATGAGAGAGTTCATGGCAAGGTTTCAGCACTGGGTACTGCCCTTTGTAAAACAGGGTACACTGCACAGAGCTACAATCAAAGCTACTCAGATAAACTTGTTAGTTAGAGCTGACCCTCCTTAGCACTCTGAACACTGAATCTCATGTTTAAGATGATCTTTACACTTAAAGGCTTTTGAAAGATTGGGCTTCAGCTCTTCAATTCCCAAGGAATACAAAAAAAGTATGACACTAAAAGTTGAAAACATAAGAAAAAAAGCAAGAAATATGACAAAACGCTGCCTAAAAACCTCTGATCAGACCTATCTGACAACTGCCTGGGCATGTCTCTAATATTGCAATAAGCATGGTTAACTGACATCACCCTGTTCAGCACTGATCATGACGAACTAACACAACAGCAAGTGGGGAGGAAAGAGTGAAACAGTCTCTACATATGAAGTTAGTGTAGTGTATCATAGCTCACTAAACCATTACCCAGATTTTATTTCTAACAAAACAGCAGTAACGCTTTTGTTTCACTGTCATGCTAAATGGGCATCCAGGGAACACACACACATAGAATGCTGGCATGACTTTTTGGACAAATGAACAAACAGCCTACAAACTGGGTGGCAGGTCGATGAACTATTTAATGTGTTTATCCTTGCGAGGCCAGCTTTCGCTTGGTCATTAGCTTCACACACTAAGACTCAAACAACGAACGACTATGTGATTGGTGAGGTGAAGCTTACATAAGATTAGGACCAAGTTAACTTAGTTTAATCAAGAGTTCTCCTAAATTACATTTGCAGTACTGCATCCTAGTTATGCTGGGTTTTTGCATGTTGGTGCTGCCTCAAAGTGATACACTACCAACAGTGACAGCATCACCAGCAAAAATGGATATTGCTTGTTTATTTAATGTGTAAAAAGGCAGAAGTATGTTGTTGTATATACTACTAGGTGTGTGTGGACATTTGGCATCTGTAGCTTCCAAAAAAAACCAAGAACACACTTCCAAAACAAAAAAAAAATATCTGGTTTGACATCACCCACCTACCACCAACGTGTAAACACAGCACGTTTTACAAAACAACGTAATGTACAAAATGCAGTTAAAGTTGAATTTATTTAAAAAAGCATGAGCACAGGTCACACTGCTTTGAGTTAATTGACCTTTTACATTCATTCTTGAAAACACAAATTTAAGCAACTTTACCACTCTTTACCTGCAACTGTTTAACAACCTAGTCATCACAAGATCATAAAATCAAATGAAACATTGCTGGGATTCCGAGAGGAGTCGGAGAGCAGGAAGTGCTCAGCCCTCCCCCTCCACATTTGGGGGTCTGTGTAATAGGGGTAGTTGTAGCTGATGAATGAAAATAAGCAATTACTAAATTGGGGGAAAAATTGATCTTGCAAGGGGGCAGTCACTTTTTTTTTGAGTAAGCTCAACTTAAACTGCTTTGCTGATCTTACTTAAGATGCAGTATTAATAAGTGTTTTTTTATATATATACCAGAATTCTGATCAAACTAAGTGGAGAAAAATAAAAAAGCTATGCAGAAATTTGACTTAAAATTCCAAATTGACTTAAGCCAAGAACCATGTGGGAGCCTTGTAGGAAGTGCAGCTAAATCAAAACAAAACACACAAGTGGCAAGTAAAAAGTGAATTATAATAACATCTCAAGTGCACAAGGTGCTGGTGATTGTATGATGAGTCCCTGAACTGAGGTTATTAGTTACTTTGCACAGCCAGGGATTTGTAAAGCATTACTGCCAATAGCAAAGCTAAAGTTCACATGCTGATCTCTACAATGATGAGAAAAAAAGAGAGAAACCATTAAGAGTACGCGGGAAGCTGCATCTGAGCAGCTTGTTTGACTCATTGTGGAAGCAGACATGACAGTCTTAATCATAAAATGAAAAACAACAGAAAGCGTGGGGCTCCGTGGCAAAGCAGCTCATTTGTTTTCGCAAGCATTCATTATGCACGCAGTTTATGACATCACATTTCCGCCATAATGAATCTCGAAGAGGGCCATGAGCTCTTGGATGTTGGCACAGACATAAAACGTGATGAATCGTACATGATGCACACATTGTTTTCTGGAATAAAAGGAGCATGATATATGGGGCTGTGTAGAGTTGGTCTGTTGCCTTGTTGATGAATGAGTCTAAAGGAGGGCTTTGTACAAAAATCCTTCAAGACCTCATCTACTCAGGAGATAAGGAGAGGAAACTGCCATGTCCAGAAACATGCCATAAGCTGACATCGAGTTTAGTGACTTTTTTATGTGAGGCAAAAAAAATCACACCTTGAAAACAGTTTCTTCTTTGCATTTGGCCTCCTGAAACTTCTGAAATGTTTCGGCCCGCTCCCGCCTGCGCATTTACGTCCAGGCAAACTGACATCCAATATCTGTCTATTCACAAGAACATTATCCTCTGCTGAAATAACACAGCAGTCATGGTCATCAGGCTCACTGTGAAGTAACTTTACCAAATGCCATTTATTCTCAGCAAACACAAAGCAGGAATTAAACCACAGAATGGTTATTTTTGGCTGTCGGACTGAGGGATCCGCCGTCTCTGTAAGCTACAAGAATTTACGTGTTGTTCACGTGATCGTTTGCTTCGGAACTCTTTAGAATGACTACATTTATTTTAATTGCTTTACTGCTATCCATTTGCATTGTTTAAATATTTGATTTAGTGATCATTTTACTTTATTTAGGCTATTCATTAATTTGCAGGATTTCTCTTCATGTGTGCTTCGATCCATTACTATCTGCAGTGTGCAGTTTCCCGCCCGCAACACTGAAAATTAGTCCCGTGCTGCAAGATATTGCGGTGGGTCCTCCGGAAGCGCAGACCTCTAGTTCTAGTGCTCTGTTTATCTGATAAGGTGGATCCAAGTTGTTTCTATGTGGCTGGTAACATCAGGTTTGATTATATGTTCACTAAATTTAGCTAAATTTAGAATCCCCCTTGGTTTTGTCATTTCTCATTTTCTAAATAGGCAGTTGGGCACACCATCACATTCTTTGTGTTCCTCATTACACATTTGTAATGTTTGTCAAATTTTGTAATAAAAAAAAGATATAATATGATATTCATATACCATTTGTATCAAAACTCCCTTATTTATTTATGCATTATTGTTATAGTTCTACCTCTACAGTCCTCATCAGGCAAAAGCCCATGTGATAAAAATTAGATAGGGATCACCGACAGTCACAAGATTGAAAACATACAAAATAGCGCTGAAGCTGAACATACAGCAGAGATAAACCGATCTGTTTTTTGAGGTCAATAGAGATTGTCCTTAAGCATGATCAGTCGATGTCGCAACATGATTGGGATGATGCAAGACGCAAGCAAATTACCATATACTGGTTTAAGCCTAACATTGCAACAAACTCACATGAAATCACATGCATTGACTCTTTGAAGTCTTTATGGCCAAATGCTTATCACACCTAAACAATTTGCAGTTGTGTTTTCAGACACAAGCAGCAGCAAGGTAAACAATCAATTCATACGTAGGCAATAGGCACAATGCAACCTCATAAATTTGAATTATTTTCAGACAAATAAGCAAGATGACAGGTAACTAAAACATTTTAATGCAGAGCCAAGTGTCATGGACACGTGGATGTGCAACTTATCATTGAGCATCAATGGCAGTATTTATTTCTTCCACAAAGAACACATTTCAGCTTTCTGGCATGACAGTCCGTTCCTCTTCTAGTTCAAGATATTTAGAGCCATGGTAAATGATCTTTCTGTCCAAACTCAGAGCAGAGAGGCAGGCTAGAAAAGAACGCTCTTATTGATCTGCCTGCACTTCAGCCAGACTGACATAATGCTTCTTTTTAGCATATGCAGCGAAATTTGGTTCACATATTTTGCATCATTTGCCACTTTTCCATGCAGGCTGATAATCCGTTAATAATCAGACTAATTGCTCAGTCAGAACAGAATACGTCCATGTGTACACTTGTGTAATTTTGGATCTTATTACTTGTAGAGTGCATGCAAAATGGAGAACATTGGAATTGGGAATTGTTGGATCACAGGAATATCAGTTGATCGCTGATTGCATTTTTAGGCAGAAAAATCAATAGATTATGATCTATAGCTGACTGATCTTTCCATTCCCTACATACTGTACGTATTGTAAAAATGTATTGACATACCACCGCCTTCTTCTGTGAAATAGTTTTGCACGTTCCTTTGTTGAAAGAGAGATATTTGAATGCAGTATTTGTGTGTTTTTGATTAAAAAAGAAAAGAATGCATTTTTTAGAAGCGTCCAAATATATGCAGAATAGGCCAAAGGATAGGCCAAAGATGGAAAGAAAAAGCAAAGGC